ATAATAATATCAATTATCAATTAATCAATTAATCAATTAATCAATTAATCAATTAATCAATTAATAATTAATCAATTAATCATTAATCAATTAACAATTAATCAATTAATCATGAATACACAATTAATCAATCAATCATGCCACGCTTTCATGCTCAGAATGGTGAACCAGAAGAGGTCTAATCGAGAGTAAAGGACACTGAAGGTGCCTGAATTTTAGTACGTGAGTTGTTTTGCAACAGTTTGTTATGCTCATGCGGCGCTGTCTCAAAGGTGGCGGCAGACAGCAGCTACGGACCGCGCACACAGCAATTCAAATCCAATCAGAACCTCCGGCTTCGCGCATTAATGCGAGGCAAGAGCGAATTTTACGACATCCTCCCCGCCGTTAATTGAGAATGCTTTCGTTATGGAACATTCGCGTTGCCTTGTTTATGCATATCGTTGCACCTACAAAATGTCAGCGAAAGCATACCATCGTAAAAAATGACGACTACCATGGTATTTAGTCTATTAATATATTTATTTATGTTGGCCTCAGGGATTATCAATTGCTGGGCGTTTGCTGTCTTGAGATGATATAATGAGTAGAGTGATAGCCTAATGATGAGGAGAATTATAATAAGTGATAGTGGAATGAGATAAAAGAAATGCGATCCCTGAGAAGCATATAATGAGCTCGCGTCTGCGTAAATGTAATGTTGAGTGTAAGGGAAGACGACGGAGGACGTGCATAGAAAATGAAAAATCATTCATCTTCTTTGACCCGTTTGTGAGGGTACTACCCCTGCATTCCTTTGGTATTTATCCGAGAAACCACAAAAAAATGATCAGAGTAGCCGGCATCTAGCATTGTACTCCAGGCAGCCGCTAATTCCAACTAGCTGTACATCGCTACCGTTAGGACTGGAACCCTAGAACCTTCAAACTAGAGAATTAACAGACGCATCGATTGCTGCCATTCAACCATTTGAGCCGGTCGTATTATTCTTTGTATGTCTCACAATAATTTCTATCCTCAACAGTGCAAAAATTGCGGGGATTTAAATTAATTTACAATAGTTTTCGTAACCAGGGACTGGTTATTTCACTTTGAAATCACCTCAGTACACACACTATCTCTGCAAATGTTTCCAACCGCAGATATAATTGCTCTTATTATCATTATAATTATTATTATTATTAATATTATTATTATCATCATCGTCATTACCATTCGTCTGTTATTTCTTCTTACCAGCTGGATTTTTTATTGACCAGAGCAATTGGAAACCATTTCCCCGTTGCAAACACCTTCCTTAGGAGAATATTTCGTTTAATCAAGATTTTAAACAGGACTTGTTGGAAACCGTCTTTAGACAAAAGGCTTGTTTGTAATGCTTGATCACATGGAGAGCTTTATAACATTGTCGCATCTGGTAGTTCTTTGCATTTTCTGTCAGTTTCGATAGGCGTTTGCCAAGATTTTTCGACACAGTTCCCGGGCCCCGACAATAACCGATTTGACTTTTCCACATGCGATCCGTCTCTATGCAAAACTCCTCTATTAAATGAGTTGCGATTCCTCAATTTTTGTGCCGGATGCTACTTCTCCAGATTCGTGTACTACCAGAAGTTTGAGCAATTCCAGGGTTTCCTTCGCAGGATGTGAACGAAGCCATGCAATGCGGTCTTTGGAGTTGGTATGCTAGAACCACATCAAGACTTAAGAGTACATATTGTAAGATGTTTTGTCGGATCATTGGGTGCAGCCCCTCCATGTCCAGGTTTTCGAGCTCCCAGATACGAGAGATCGCGATATTTCTTTATTTTCCTGACATCTGGCTTCGAATCTGCTGGAAAGACAACCATCTACGTGCTTCTTTGTCAAGCCATGCATTCTGGCATTATAGTCCAACAAATGGCGTGTATGGATCTCAAAACATACATTAGTTGCATAGCTTTCTTTCAATTTCTGCGCGCATTGGAAATTACTATTACAGATTATCATCAACGTGGGAATTTAAGATGCTCCTGAGCGACTGCCACGCAGGTCTAACGGACCAATAACCCCGCGCGGAAAACTCAAACGGTGTAACCGTGCATAAGAGCCTCGTTACTCAGCCTTCCGTGACCCGTTTGTGTTCCACGCCAAGCGATTGGCAGCAGGTAGAGCGGTACGCACTCATCGAGCCAACCTCCACCGCAACAAAAAATCGTAATGCGACGTCGGCAACATATTTTACAATTACACGGATTGCTTTCCCAGCCGCGCTACGTCTGCAAAAACAAACTTCCGGTGTGTTTTCACTGCAACGTGGCAGGTGGCGGTGCTTAACGCTCAAGCGAATGCTAGGTGTTGAAATCGAATATTACGGAAGGATATTTCCAGAAAAAGGGTCTTGGTGCGTCAGAAACGCTCGCTAGGAATTTCTGTGCGGCCGCCAAAGAACGTAACAACGGTTAGTTGTTACTTGCTTCGCGGGAGAGTTTGTCGCGGCCAGTCAGAAGGTTCAGGCACGCAAAGAAAAACAACTGCAAAGCGCCGACATCGGGGTTGGTAACATTTTGCAATTAGGTAGTTTGGTTTCTTAGACGCGTACCTCGTTAGAAACAATTTTCTGTCAGTTTGTGTGCTTTCTTCTCGTTAAGTTTCTTCATTGCTTGATTGACGTTTAAAATACGTACAAATTGTAAATGTGAAGCAAATGAGAACATCGTTTACGTTCTGTGTGTACGTCCGCTTTGAGAAGTGAGAAAAACCATACAGATGGATATAGATATCATACGTCAGATAATTATTAAAGATCGTACACGATGTCTTAAAAAACACCCCAGCAGTGAAATGCGTCAAATTCAATTTACAAGCTTCATTCACATGTATTTTCATTAGTGGTATTTCATTTGTTTTTCATTCTCACCGTTTACAAGTCGACATTCAGGATCACGATTGCTCATACTAGGCTTCCTTTCATTGCTGGGATTCTCGGCTTCCGTACGCAAAGATTTTAGTTCGATTTCTTATGTGTTGCTTCCGCAATGCCACAAGAATGGAACAATAACAACGATGCTGAGGGTATTGATTTATTTAACGCCAAAAAAGCTGAAACTGAGTGACGGAGTATGGGGTGAAGTACAATCGTTGCACAGAGTATTGAGCTCTGCATCTCTGTAAAAATTCATATACAGAAAATTGGACAGAAGATGAAACCAGCTACAGATTTGGGCAATAATTCTTTATCCTGACCATGGTGACAAAAAAACAATTACCACCATGAGAAAATGAACGATTATTCGAATAGCAACATTCCATACCGAGTTACAAAAACGTGCACTGTTACTGAAGTTACACTTATGTCCATATGTAAAATAACTATCTCAGCATTGGCTCAAATAATCAGGGAAACGACGAAAATACTAATTGGGGAGCCATTGTCTCAGAAGCTGAGAGACAATAACTGAAACAAGCATATTTATTATTATTATTATTATTATTATTATTATTATTATTATTATTATTATTATTATTATTATTGTTTACTTTTTTTATATATTTTATTTTATAGATTTATTTTCTACTTTTATTTATTACTTATTAATAATTTCTATATTATTATTTATCATTTATTGTATTTATTGTAATTATTATTTACATGCATACTGCATTCCACATTGTTTCGTAATTTGAAGTCAAAATATTCTCACCATGTTCCTTGATTTTAGCTTATCTTATGTCTGCCTGAGTTTTTTAAACAATGATCTGAATTTTTGGAAGTAGTCATTGGAAATAATGAGATTCGTAATAAGTATTTACAAATGGAATAAAGAATTCGTTTTGTTTTACATCATGTTCTAGTCCCTCCAGTTATCAAAGTACTGCTTTTCCGTAAAATGTTTAGCAGAGCGCGCGCTGTGTCGGGCGTTCTGGGAAGCGTTCCCTGCAGAGCGGCGTCTAATAACGGCGCGTGCGCGCGTGAAGGCGTAACCCAGGAGGCAGCGCATTTCCATTGGACACAGCACGCGGCTGCACTTGCTGCGGCGCTTGTTCCTCCAACGAGGAAGGAGAAGGAGGCGAAAAGGACACGAGCAAGCAATGCAAAGATGCGGATTTCGATTCGAAGCCAGCCTTTTTCAAATGCAGCTATTTAGTTTGGAAAAAATTATCTTCTTAAGATATACATTATTAATCCTCAAATTGTAAGACTATCGGATAAGATACTCGCATTCTTTTTTGCGGTTTAAAGATGTGTAAATAAAACGGACATGTCCGCCAAGGTGGTTTCCCAAACAAAACTTTGGCAAATGTTCATTAGTATTTTTAATGTAATTTTCTTGATAAATGTTGAATGAATATAATTTTAAAATAATCCTCAAAATGGGGATGCATTTGTGGCCAAAATATCGTGATTTTGCAAACCATAAATTATTGTTAACTGCCATACGAGTTTGTGTAATATCTGGATCTGTTTGTTGAATGGTCAAATATTGCTATATTAATTGAGAGTGACTAACAATATTTGGTTTAACAATAACAATTTTAATAATATTTTTTGCTCATGTGATATCTATAGTCTTCAGTATATCGAGCAGTCATATACGTATAAAAAAAGCACATGATTCGAATTGTCAATTACTCGATCCCAAACAGGGTACAATAGTTACTGAAGAATGAAATCAAAGATAGGCAGGCACAATTATTTGATGTTGTATTGTTAGTTTCAGCAACTTCCTGATATTTTTTTTCAATAACTCTACAATATAACAAATCCCATAATATTTCTTAGATATCTTTCTAAAATTGATATAAAATATCATAGTCGGAATTTCTCTTTACATTATTCTTGACTTTAATATTGAATTTTTTATTCACGTCCCTGCTGCAGAACATAAATTTCTATATCATTTTCGGTACTTCAAATATTCACGCCTATGTTGATAGCCCCTAGTTAGAAAACTTAACTTGAAAGAAAGCGATTTCTTCGTCTCTTCGGGCAGTCAACCATCTATTCTCAGCTAATTCTGTTAAATGTTCGCAAGAAGCAGCGTTCCAGATGCATCATCATTGGTGTCACTAGCCCGTGAACGAGCTGACTGTGCATCTTTCTCAAGGCAATTTATGTCTTGTGCCGGCCAGGCAATTCTGGAAGTGGTTGCCGGATCAGAGTGGTCAATAGCGTGAGGATACTGCTTCTTGGGGCAGAGGCATGCTGTTTTGCGACACCTCGAAGAACAAGATGAGGTCCAGCAAATCTGCCCCTACTTTAAGAGGAGACATAAAGGAATGTGTGTTAGGTGGTCAGCTGGAAATGATTTATCGTAGGCACTACGTGTAAGACTAACACTCGTGTGTTCACATGCAAAATATTTACACGAATCAGAGTATCAGGAGACAACTTTACGGCTTGAATATCCCACTTATTTTATTTTGGAAAATTTTTAGATATTGTTTAAGGTGACGTCCAACAAGAATAAGGATTAGGAAAATTTATTGGCATATACCATTCCCACTTTTCATTTTATTGTAAATAAATTGCTAACACTTGAGGAAACTTTTTCATCTGAAAACCTATAAAATTTCATTTAAGCTTCTATTAACAAATTGTATTAAATTAATATTTATATCAAAACTATCAAACGCAGAATTTTTAAATTGGGATTAAAATTAACGAAACAAACACCCTGGCTAACATTTTAAAAACTTGTTTAAAAATAAGAGTCTCCTACACGTAACTATTCATTAATGTTATTCTTCAGTATATAAATTAAAATACGTATTTGACAAATAACAAGAGTTTACATATTAAAATTATTTTACACTATTCATAATTGATTGTTTTAAAATGAAAGAGATGATGTCAACTTAATAATACTACCTGCTCTTGCAAGACTACCTACTAGTAGTTACCGAAATCATTAAAAATTATTCAACTTCTTTTACTTTTTTATGAAATATTGTCCAATTTTAAATAAAGCGGTAACATACATGCGAAGTAAGTTTTGAATTGTATTCCCCAGTAAGATTGTAGTTGCCTATGCAACTCCTCAAAACACGACCAAAGAACAATCTTCACTTATTAATCAGTAGTTTTATATCTCACATATTACGAAATGATTTACGCCATTTTCTGCCAACGTAGTTAGTTTGGATTTTATTTGAAATATACGAAATGCTAGCTTCGAGTTTCCAAACAACACTTCAAAATTTGAAACGAACACATTTTAACATTAATTCTTTTTTTAACGTACAAAAATGTTAGGGATGCGTTCCATCGCATTATTGAATTAAGAACAGCCCATTGAATAGCAAAACTTCTCAGTAAAAGTTTGCATTACGAATTTAAAAATCATCATGAAACGCAAACACTTACCTATTATTTTCCACTGTTTTTGGTTACACGTGTACATTTTCATACTATTCATACCAGTTTTGCAGGATGCGTATCATGAACGACTCACCACATTCTGGCAACACCGCGTGCTATTACCGAAATGGAGCGCGCAGGGACGCCATGGGAAAATCCAGGAACCAGTAACAAGAAGATAGAATGTGGGTCTTTATTAAAATTTCACTGGCATGTTTATGTATACACAGAAATATATAGAAATATTATATAAAGACCTTCAAGGGACCGTTTAATTTCGGTCATTGTAGTCGATAATCGCTATAAGCAACTTCGAGGAGAAGGCGATAATAAAGGCATTGTATAGGTCAAAATGGATTTTTTGTGTGCATATTTTCCTACAATAAGGAAACATTAAAGTTACACAATCAAACATAAATGTGTGAGATTTTCAATTTAGAAAACAGTAACATGACAAATGCAGTTCAAAATGGAAAATTACTTTATACATGGAAGAAGATATTATTGTTTTAGAAAAATCAGTAATTGCAGCTTCCTAACAGGTGGTAATATACAATGTCGTCATTATGGTCGAAGTCTCTAAAAGAGTAGTATTTTTTTCTGATGGTTTTACTGCAATCCAACTACAATTCAAAATTCCATCCTTATGCACGGTTTGTCGCTCTAAGAGACGTCGTAAGAAGTGATTTATAGTGTTATTATTATTATTATTATTATTATTATTATTATTATTATTATTATTATTATTATTTACTCGATTATATTGATATATTTAGGTAAAAAATATCCTTCAGCACTTGGATGTTCAAAATAACTATTAGTCGACATATCGTCTGCGTCTCCCCGGACAGAACCGCCGGAACAGGAAACGTTGAAAATTTATCATTTTTTTTTTTAATTTCAGCTCGGTTTTCAACTACTACGGTCATATGGCGACCAACACACAAACATGCGATGCGAGTGTGGTACCATTCCAAAAGTCTCGCCATATTTGTCATTAGCGCGACCATACCATCTCGCATCATATAGACATCGTATCTGAGGCGTTTCGAAAATACATAGCCCTAGTATTATCAAGTGAACATGAAGCATTGCGTATTGATAGTGACTAGACTACGAACTATAGGATCTAGACACGACAATTGTTGATTTCAATAATTTGCTTTTAATGGTAAAGTAATACGGTATTTGTCTGTTTGTTTATAACGACGTATATTTAAAAATGTTTCTATAAATGGAATAATGTAAAACTGTGTCGTTTCTGTTTTGTATTTCGATTCTTACGTTCGTTATTAATGTTTTAGTTATTTCAATAGTTGACTGAAAACCTGGAAGATGATGAATATCTAATTAATACCGTATTTAAAAGGAAACCCACAGTTTTTACATTCAATTTTGATAGTATAATGCAATCAAAAACCTTTAAAAATATCCCAGCTCTTATCCCATGCCATAATCCTCGAGGAGGAATTTTGTCTCGTGAATGAAGAAACGAAATGAGGATTCCAAGCTTCTAGCATAATTGTTTTCTATCCGTTATTGTAATACGTTTTGGATATACATTTAACGCTTCGCTACGTGTAGCCAAGTTGGCGACAAGGCTTTGGTCTTCGCCTTCGCCGTGTGATATAGAACAATCTCGAATCTATGCAACGTATAATTCCCAACAAATATTTTGTTCCAAAATACTTTGTTCACCGCTCTCGCGATGTTGATAGTAGATGTTTTCGAACAGTATAAAAAGTATTAAGATCTAAAGCACCTTTTACAATCCTGTCGAAATCCACCCCTCCACCGTACATTGAGCCTTAAAGGCGATAAACCCCCTCAAATTTAGGGAGTAAAACCCGTCACCTGGCAACACTGCGTAGCGCCCGATCAATGCGTCCGCCCCGGGTCAGCCCATCGCCACTGGTCGCGTGGGGTGGCGGAGGGGGTTGGAGGGGCGGCGGAGGGGAAGTACGAGGCGCTAGAGTGGGGGGCGCTCGCCGCACTGCAGCACAGCGCTTCTCTGCTGCGCATGCGCCGTCGGCGAGGGTGCCGGGGACGACCCACCGCGCGTGCGCGGGACTGTGCGGGGTGGGTTCATTAATTAACCCGAGGGGTGCGCGACCTAGCGCTGGGTTGGACTTGCAGATAGCCAGACGTTACTGTCGCCCAGAATACTTTTTTGTCATTTTGTTTGCACGTTGTTTCGACGAGAGCATGAGGCAGTTTCGTGCAACTGTGAAATATATTCTTCGTACAGTAATCTGTCTCTGGTTATTACTCACTGTTAGATGTCTTCCAGTCCACTGTCCGCACAGAATGAGTCACTCTACTCGTCTTGGTCTGCTGGTGGGGAACTCACAATTGTTTTCTTTCTTCGACATTCTTAAAGTCTGAAAAATAAAACATTTTGTAGAGGGATTCAAGCACAAAAACGGTGTTTCGGGGGGTTTAAAGCACATAAAATGCGATTTTTAATGTTTAAGGAATCTACATTGATGATCAGTAGCTCCTTTGATTCCTCCCGCGAAGGCGAATTGATTGGCAATATTTACAGCCGGCCCCTTCTAATCTATATTCTGGACGAATTCTGCAAAAAAAGCTGGTTTTGGAGGATGACGAAACCTTTGAGTTACTATAATACCTTTCCCACATAAGAACTCTTTCATATTTATGACAATTATACTTCATTTTTTAATGGAAAAATATTAAATAGGTAATGTTTTTTAATACTTTTTAGGCAACTTTGTAGGCCCTAGAACGGACAAAACAGGCAACTGTTTTATCTTTCAAACTAATTGTGAACTTACATGTATACAGTTAAGCTCATTTACGGATGTAACTTCAAAGGAGTGTTCTGCCATTGAGCAGTTACTTTTAGAACACAATATTTCATTACAAATACATAATAGGACCGTAAAGTCCTGTCTCCAAATTGCAGGTATAAATTCATAACTATGATATTTTCCTAAAATCATAAATCTATTAATAAATGAAACATTAATAAAAGAAATCACTTAAATATCTGTTTAAACCTCTGTTGACCCTTCATTGTCAAATTGTGTTATGCAGATTATATATGATCAATTGCATTGATTTTGTAAATATTGTTCTCTGATTTTCCGCAGGTCTTCTTTGATTGGTGATAGGAAACAGTGATTGGAAGAGGGTACAAATGTGTGTTGTAGGAAGGGGGACGATCCAGAAAATATTTTGGAGATGGGGTGCAGTTAGTTCAAGGAACCTCCCTACATTTTTCATAATATAAACTTCTTGAGAACACGTTCAGACATAATGGGATTATTCTTTTGGAATGAGTTGTGATTAATGTGTGCTAATTGCTTTTAAATAAACTGAGTAAATGGCAAAGAGGTTTGTGTTTGGGGAAAACCACGATCCCCATGGTATCCCCGTTCCGCCTCTGGCTGTGCTTGTTTATTTAAAGTCGCATCAACTACTAGGTCATTAGCGGCCACCATAATTGATTTTAACGTTTGGATATCCGCAAGAGTAGACAGTTTGTTGCCAAGAGGACCGCCAGGTAGCATCTCCGCGTACGCCCCTCTTTCCACGCCCTCCTGCGTCGCTACCCAGAGGCCAGAATTGGGAAGGAATTAGGACAGTGGTAGAGTTTAGGACACCTCACAGGGATTGGACTAGCCCCAGAGAAGCAGCCAACCTCGTGTTGACGGGAAAAAATGTCCCATGAAATTGTCCGGAACTTGAACCCAGGTCTCCTTCATGAAAGGCAAGCGACAGAGCCACGAGATGGCATGCTGTGCAATAACTTTAGATTTATATGCTTCAATTAAATTCATTCACAATTACTTCATTGTGATACTTTATGTGATTATTTTATTGGAATGCGATGTGGTAAATTTCTGTAAATATTATAATGAATTAATTAATTTTTTAAAAGATGTCGTGAGTTCGAATACCACCCCGTCTGTGGATGCTTTTGTATTGTATCATGATAGAGCTCCCCCAGCCACCTCCCAACCTTTTTCCATCCATTCCAGGCTGGACTGGTGGCAAAGGGGCTTGGGACAATTTCGGCCACGTATGCGTTACACCAAGCATCAAAACCAGGATCCAAACCAGCTTAAGGAATGAATGCAGTGTGTTGAGGCGTGGTGGTTCCTCGAATCGTATATCGACCTTTCGAATCCCCTTCCTCCTCATTCCACCTACCCTCGGCCAGGGCTGCATTATGCAGCCGAGATGGGCCTACAGCAATGATGTCGAGGTCTCTTACTGGTGGCGGTGGCACGCTTTTTGGCAGCGTGGCATGCCACGAGACTCTCAGCGCAACTAGCGTCGGGAAGAGGAACTATCAGCAGCACCCTGCTCTCAGAAGGAAGTGTAATACAATTTTACAAGGTACTCGATAAATCACAACTTCCAAACTTAATAATGCTGCTCGAATAATATATATGTGTGGTATCAAATATTGGTCTGTTTAAAATGACTAAGTTCCTTTAGCAGTATTCTTTTATGGATTTTCTCCAAAAATTACACAAATGTTTTCTTAATATACCTCACGCCGTTGATATGCACATTTCTAGCAATTTGTAAACTCTATTGCGTTTGTGACTTGAAGTGCCTTAAAACTCAAAAATGTTCTGTGAAAAAGGTTTTTAAATTGCGCATTTACAGTATCGCTTAAACGCCATTTTCGTAAAAAAATCTCCAAATATTTCAATGAAAAATTCCATATGTGACGAGGTTTTTCTCTTAATATTCTTTAGTAAAGTAATATTTTGGTTCTACAATTAGAAACTCGAACACTTGAGGAAGTGTAGATAGCATGTACTTTGGTCGGCGATATTTGGCAGCTGGCAAGAGAATAGGGCAAGACCGTAAAGCCAGTCCACAACAAGGAAATTAGGAAACTTTACTACGAGAAAGTCTGCGCCATTCTGTATCGCAACTAATGTCATGTGAAATGTGTAAAAGCCTTCGGGGTGACTGTCTACTGCTCTCTTGTGGTGTGATCAACTGCGTGGAGGGATGATTTCGTCGAGTTACATGTCGGACTCCATCTCATAGATAGATAGATAGATTTATTATTTCTGCAAGTAGGTATAGAACCTGGTGGCAGAACACTACAT